CAGGATTTAATGTGTAGATGGTAGTAAAGGAAGGAATTTTTGCTGCGGACCAAATTTAAGAGAATTATGGCCCTTTGTTGATTTTTTTCACTATATACTATGTAGAAATTTTGTGAGCGCAACTCCTCTTAAACCGGATGGCAGATTTTGCTTAAACTTACAGGGAAGAACAACCTTAATGTGTAGATGGTAGTAAAGGAAAGAATTTTTGCTGCGACCAAATTTAACAGAATTATGGCCCTTTGTTGATTTTTTCACTATATACTATGTAGAAATTTTGTGAACGCAGCTCCTCTTACATCTTAAACCGGATGGCAGATTTTGCTTAAACTTCCAGGGATGAACAACCTTAATGTGTAGATGGTAGTAAAGAAAGGGAATTTTTGCTGCAACCAAATTTAACAGAATTATGGCCCTTTTTTATTTTTTCATTATATACTATGTAGAAATTTTGTTGTAAACGCAACTCCTCTTAAACCGGATGGTAGATTTTGCTTAAACTTCCAGGGATTAACAACCTTAATGTGTAGATGGTAGTAAAGGAAGGAATTTTTGCTGCGACCAAATTCAACAGAATTATGGCCCTTTGTTGATTTTTAGTTTTCAACTTGTGGCACATGTAGTCCAAAAAATATTTGACCTAGAGTCATAAGATTGACAGAACAGTGGCATGTGGGGGCATCCGTGTCCTATGGACACATTTCTAGTTTTTTATTAAAAAACTGTTGTACATGAGAAAGATACAGTTAAATAGGACTTCTGTCAATACTGGTCCATTAAGATGTACACTTTAATGGGCATTGTCCAGAATTAAACCTCTGCAACCCACATTGAGTATTTCTCAAAAGAATGATTTTTTTTAACATTGTATAGATAAGTAATGTACTTACAATTATAGTTATGTAATTATGTATATCTAATATAAGTCATACTGTACACATTATATGCAGCTTTTAAAGAAAGCAAACCTTAATGCTTGTATTTTTTATTTGGATCCATATGCGAGGTTAAGTACCCTATCCAATTCAAAACATATAAACTTTTGGTGATGGACATTTTTATTTATTTATTTATTGACAAGTTCATACAAATGAATATTATTAATACTTGTTTAGTTTGACTGAGATATAGAATTTGGGAAATTGTATTATGTATGTAATTATAAATAAGTATAAAACACGCTTTAGTAAAATGTGTGGGAATACCATGTTAATATTGGTTCATTCTAAAATGAAAATTTATTCATAAATCTGTGGCAGCTTCATGCAAATTTGAAAATAAGCATTATTATTTACAAAGAAAGCAGAACTAATAAAAAGCATGTTCAGCGAATGTAACTTGTAATGAATGTCTTAATGAAGAGCTAATTAGTGCATTTCTCATTTCTAATACTTTGCATACATTTTAATATATGCTTATAAAATATGGTGTTTTTCTGCATTTACTGCTTTTTCTGGAACATTGTGTTCCAGTCCAGAAACACAGTTAAATTATTTTATATCTGCATTGCACTAAATTTTGTTACTGGTATTATAGGCTTTGATAAAAACATTGAATTTCCAGTTTTTGACCAATTTGTCATTGAAGTATTTCACTGCTAAATATGAATTAAATACTTGCCCTGCTGTAAGTTTGGATCTGGTCATTGTTATTGGGAATATAAAATATCTCAAAATAATGCTCTGCCCACTTAGCTTAAAAAAGAAAGCATCAGATTTGTTATCAAGGGGTCACTGGCTAGATCCTTGGGTGACACCAACATTGAGTCTGATGGTCAGTTATCGGTCACTTGCTACGAAAAATTGATAAGTACTGGTTAGTTATCCAGGAAACCCAGTAAGGCGGGTCAGTCGCGAAGATGTGACCAAAAAGGTGTTAAAATTGTTGTCAAAACCAAACAATCAAGCAAAAATAAAAAAATAATCCAGTTTGGTCAGATTTGAAAATAAATTGAAAAATTGATCAGCAGTCAGTTTGGTTAGATTAGAAGACAAGACGACATTTATATACCAGTAAATAGATCTAAGAAAATATATGAGCCGCGTCACGACAAAACCAACATAGTGGGTTTGCTACCAGCATGGATCCAGACCAGCCTGCGCATCCGCGCAGTCTGATCAGGATCCATGCTGTTCGCTGTCAGTTTCTCCACTTGTAATAGAGTTGGTAAGCGAACAGCATGGATACTGATCAGACTGCGCGGATGCGCAGGCTGGTCTGGATCCATGCTGGTCGCAAACCCACTATGTTGGTTTTGTCATGGCACGGCTCAATTATCACTTTCTAAATAAACACTTTGGTAAGAAATCTTTATATTCAAACCCATTTGAGAAGGTAAATCCATTTTCCAATACACATATAGAAAGATCCAGTTGTCACCACAATAATCAGCCTGTAATAACATTGTGTTACATCTTATGTCGCTATAATAATCAATAGCATGATAACACTTTTGATGTATGCAGATATGTCTAGAGGCATTTTATATATACAAGAATGACATGTAAATACAGATATGAGTCACGTCACGACAAAACCAACATAGTGCGTTTGCGACCAGCATGGATCCAGACCAGCCTGCGCGTCCGCGCAGTCTGATCAGGATCCATGCTGTTCGCTATCAGTTTCACTACTTGTAATAGAGTTTGTAAGCGAACAGCATGGATCCTGATCAGACTGCACGGGTGCGCAAGCTGGTCTGGATCCATGCTGGTCGCAAACCCATTATGTTGGTAACATGGCAGGTATATAAAACTGAAATAATAATTGTTATTTTGTGACTTAAATTGAAGGGGAGCAGACATTTCTTTAAAAAAAAAAACAAGATGTTTTAGGGAAGATCCCTAGCTGGGTAATTGGCAAATAAGAGAATCGTTCTAAGATTGGCATATATTATCCTTTACCATGTTAGAACTGAAAGTGACTAGCCTTTGCCACCAGTATTAAGCCAGGCTAGCATCTACATTCATGACGTCTGACCAGGCTCTATTACTATTGGATAACTTGAAATTTTCATCTTCTTGTCTCTAGAATTGATAATAGACAGTTTCAAAAATGGAAGGTGGACCAGTCCATTTAAGAATTTGAGCAGGTTAAAGGTTTATGTAACTGGGTAGGGTATTACGTCAATTATTTTAGAAGTATCAACTCACTGCTTTAAATAGATACAAGTATAAATAATTATAAACAAAGCATTGTTCTGGGAGAAGTTAAAATTATACTTATGTAAACTATTGTGATATGTATCTTATTTGAATGTTTACAGGATACAGAGATTTTAGAAAAGTTGATACAAGATGACATAGCAGCCGCCAAAACTCCAGTCGCTCTTATTGCATATGCAGGTATGATTTATAGGACACATATTGTTAAGTTGGGTCAAATATGTTTCTTGTATTGAGGCATGATTTCTCTTGTTATAAATCGAAACAGGCTATTTTGGATTTTTTCAGATTTGAAGCTTTGATGATGAATTGATTTGTTCATAAATTGCATAAACTGGCATTGATCCATTAACCAAACCTCCACAACCAGCATGCTGTTTGGCATATATCGTATAGCTATTTATTATGCCACCGCAGCATCTGCGATGCGGTGGCATATAGCGATTCACCTGTGTGTTTGTGTGTTATATAGATTATATAGTGAACTTAAAAAATCTTCTTGTGAAAAACCACTTGTCCAATTTCAACCAAACTTGGCAGGATTGTTCCTTGGGTGAAAGGCTTCCAAAGTTGTTCAAAGAATTTCATTCCATGCAGAAATCTGGTTGCCATGGCAACCAAAAGGAATTATAAGAATAAATTTAAACTTCTTGTAAAGACCCAAAAGGCCTAGAGCTTAGATATTTTGCATAAGGCATTGTCTGGTAGACCTCTAACAAGATTGTTCAAATTATAGCCCTGGGGTCAAAATTGGCCCCGTCCTCGGGGGGTCATTGATTTTCACTATATGTACATATAGTAGAAACTTAAAATACCTTCTTGTAAAAACCCAAAAGGCCTAAAGCTTAGATATTTTGCATAAGGCATCATCTGGTAGACCCTTACCAAGATTGTTCAAATTATAGCCCTTGGGTCAAAATCAGCCCCACCCCGGGGTCATTGATTTTCAACTATATGTACATATAGTAAAAACTTAAAACACCTTCTTGTAAAGACCCAAAAGGCCTAGAGCTAAGATATTTTGCATAAGGCATTGTCTGGTAGACCTCTACCCAGATTGTTCAAATTATAGCCCTGGGGTCAAAAATGGGCCCCGCCCCAGGGGTCATTTGTTTTCCTTATATGTATATAGTAAAAACTTATAAAAAAAAATCTTCTAGCTATTGACAAATGCTAGAGGTTAGATATTTTGCATGAAACATTGTGTTGTAAACCTCTAGCAAGATTGTTCAAATTATAGCCCTGGGGTCAAAATTGCCCTGGCCCTGGGGGTCATTGATTTCAATATATGCATATAGTAAAGAATTAAAAAAATGTTATTATCTGAAGGTACAAGACTTAGAGCTTTAATATTTGTTAAATAATATCATCTAAAGGTACTCTACCAAAGTTGTTCAAATTTTGCCTCTTGTGTCAAAATTAGCCCCGCCCTCGGGAGCCATAGGTTTATCTTGTATGTATATAGTTAAAACTTAAAAAATCATCTTCTCTAAATTTTCAAAGGATAGAGTTAAGATATTTTGCATGAAACATTGTGTAGTGAACCTCTAGCAAGATTGTTCAAATTATAGCCCTGGGGTCAAAATTGGTTCCGCCCTGGGGTCATTGATTTTCATTATGTACATATGGTGAAAAAAAAAAATTTTTGTCTGAAGGTTCAAGGCATAGAGCTTTGATGTTTGATATATAATATCATCTATAGGTCCTCTACCAAAGTTGTTCAAATGTCAAAAATTGGCCCTGCCCGGGGGCAGTGATTCTCATTATGTACACGTAGTAAAAACAGAAAAATAAAACAAATGCTTTCTGAATGGGAGAAAGCTATAGCTTAGATATTTGACTTGAAATGTTGTTTGGTGGACCTGTATCAAGATTGTTATTAAACCCTTGGGTCAAAATTATGCCTTGCCCAAGGGGACAGTGACCTACTTTCTTGTCCTTTGATGTACAGCAATGACATTTTGACCATGTGCACAGTTTTAGTTGTAAAATTGAACTTTGACCTAGATTTTGATGATGTGACGTACTTTCTTGTCCTTTGATGTACAGCTATGAAATTTGAACCATGCGGTGGCATAGCATTTTTCTCAAATGCAATCTTGTTTTTAATTTGATTTACAAAAATGTATGAAATGATTATTGATATTCAGATGCTGTATAATTTTCATATAGAATTGTTGCTATCCAGCTAACTTACAAAGGTTATTTGTACTACTCCGGTGCCTGCTTTTGCCTAAAGAGGGGCTGAGGTCATCCTCCACCAGTAAAGCTACACATGTACAAGGTCGCCATGTGACCTTTACTGTGTCAATGTGAATTGAAATTAAAAACATAGCAAAATCTTGCATTTTTTGAAGTCACAGAAATATGACAGTATTTACAGTTGACTAATTAACAAAGATATATTTTTTGCCCCTTGTTTGTACATGTTCATACTTAAGTACAGACATAATGTTATGATACTTACCTAAGCTAATGTATAACTTTATCATTGTAGGTACACCAAATGCAGGTCATGTAGATGATTTAGAAAAGATTAAAGAATTATGCAAGAAAAATAACATTTGGATGCATGTGGATGGGTAAGCTGTTCAAGAAATGCCAAACATTTTCTCTTTTTAATGAACATTGAATCAAAATATAGATAAATATTTCAAAGAAGATCAAGTATCAATTTCTCTGAGGCAAAAAGTGCACCTGAAATAAAAAAGACAAGTATTTGTTTACAGTTTGACTTTATTTAAGTCCATTTAGACCTAAAGACCTCTCTTCTAATAAGACCAGTTGTTAACTGGAACTGAAAGTGACAAGATTTTGCCATTCATGCAGTCTGACCAGGCTCAATACTATTGGCTTACTTATTAAAAAATTTACGTTGAATTCCGCTAAACTGACAATGAACAGATCCAAATTTTTGAACTGGATAAGTCCATTTAACAGAGTAGGGATTAAAAATATAGTTTTAGATATATTATCAATAACATGTATGTGCATTCATAGTTAGATACATTGAGATGAACTTTTATCAATGATATTGATAAACATAAAACATGCCATATTGTTGAATCAGCAAAAAATAACAGAGCATATGTCACAAAGATGTTTTTTGATTTCATTGTGATCTTGTTATATTTCAGGGATAACCTTGCCACTTTGTCATTGATACGTCCACCTGGTAACATACAGAATGCAAGATTTGGTGACAGTTTCACTATCTGTATGGGTAAATGGCTAGGAATTCCTGCAATGCCGTACTCTGTATCCTTTTCTATGATCATAATATAACTTCTGTTGTTTTTTTGAATAATTGATACTTTTTTTCAAATTTTAAAGAATTAGTACCTGATTACAAACTTAAATACAATAACATTTCAGTTAAGCAGCTTTGTGGATATCCTGGCTACAAGTACATGCACTTAAGTTATTAACCTACTGTTGATAGATATTTTCATGGCCATACCCATTCCATTGCTATTTACACTTAAGTGGCTGAGTTTTTTAAAAATGTAAAAAATGTTATGAAACAATTATGATCTGCTCTTCAAAGATGGTAGCCATATAAAATGTCAACAAATATTATGTGCAGCTTTAAGAGAATAGGTCTGACTTATTTACTGTAAGAATGAATTTGTCACATAACTGAGAAAGCAAGTCAAGGTAATACTTTGAAAAGTAAACAAATATCTTTAGAATGTTATGGATTGAAGTTCTTTTCTATGACATGATGAGTATATGAATGAATTTTAACATAAAGACAATACTATATAGACTTGGATATCAATAGTTTTTCTTAACTGGCAAATAGACACTTTTCAAAGTGGCGGATCCCGCCCTTGTACATGCTGCGTCACTGATGACCTTTAACCCCTACCTGAAACTGACTTGTCTCCCTTTGTGGGTAGTGTTACAAAGTCTTGGTATTGAAAATATAGAGCAAAGAATCACTCATTCATGTGATCTTGTAAGTATAAATCTATGACTATTGTATTTTTGTGTGTGTTTTTTTATGCTGATTTTTTTTTTTATGCTGACTACAACATATTTTTGGTCATATCTGTTTTCTAGGATAACTAACTAGTAATTACCAGTTTCTTCGAAAGTGGCAGACTTGCAGTAAGAGATAAATGACCACTGTCCAAGATTACTTCTCACAGTGAAATTTTGCATTGTCCGAGGATCGAACTAGCTGTCTGACTGTGGGTTACTGATCTGTTGCTCTCCTACCCTAATTAGCAGATTTATTTTTGAAAATGACATAAATTCTGTCGCTGTAATTTCTCTTAAAAGATTTGGATTAAAGTTTTGAAGAAAGAAAAATCAGTTTTAAAATTCAAGAAGTATATAAATAATTAATAGACATAATAAGTATTGTTTCCAAGTTGTGACATTGTTTCACAGAGTTACTCCATAATAGATACGATATTATGAATGTCTAGAAATTTCAACAGATATCTGTAAAATTGTAAATATGCAATAAATATATTTGCTTCTATTGTATGCCCTACTATGTATAAACGTCTTTTGCAATAATCTATTGATATGCTATTGTCTCTTATCATGTAATGTGATGATCTTCCACAAGTTTAGTTGGAAAGTCACCATATGTCCTTTAGTTTGTAGGTGTTACTTAAAATCCGTGATTGAGGGGTTAGAGTCGATGACTTCTAATCCAGTTACCTCTCTGGCGTGGGTTCTATCCCCGGGAGATGCTTTGGTAGTTTAGCGCAGAGGAAGGTAGTCTAGTACTGGTGTAACTTTCCAGGAATGATGGTTAGGAAACTACCCGCCTATATGACTGAAATTCTGTTGGGAAAAGGCGTAAATGAAACAAACAAACAAACAAACTTAAAATCAAGCATAACAAACAAAATAACAATTTGATTGGTATTATAAAAAGAATCATTGTAACATATGATATATTGTCTTACTATGTGTATTTCAGGCTGACTTCCTTTTCAATGAGCTGTCAAAGATTAAAACAATCAAACAGTTTGTAAGTCAATAAATTATGTTAATATATTAATATAGCATTAAATGATTTAGAATGATGTCCATACAATGACTTGAATATTGACCGTGTCATGTCATTGATTTTGAATAAATCACTCCCCTTCATGAATTTCTCATGTTTTGAATAAAAGCACTAAAAATAATTGAGCTTTACTATCTAATAAAGGATATATTGGATCATACAGAGTCAACTACAGATAATATATTGGACAGTCATATAGTAAAATGTGGAAGCAGAGATTTTTGTAGATAATTTGTACAGATTAATATCTTACAATGATTTGTATACTTATTTTTTTTTGCTTGTTTTCAGAGCCGAGAAGAGAAAAAGAAAGATGAAAGAGCTGTTAGATCTATTTCAGACCTCATCTCAAAGGCAATCTCTGCCCTGGTGAGCTTCTTCACAATTTAACCTTTGATACTGCAGATAATGTATAATAAACGTTATAGAGTTTGGCGATGTAGCAAGCGCTCGGTTAAACTTACTACTTACTTATTACATGGGAACAATTTGACATTCTTTCTAGTACTATCGTGTTAAATCCAAACTGAAATTGATTTGAATACAATATATAGAAAAAAACATTTTATTTGGAAACAAGATTAAAAATGCATTGTTTGTAAAATAAAAGTTTTTCTTTCTTTATATTTATATTAAATCAGTTTCACTATATTTAAACTTGTTTTCTGTTACTTTGATAAAATATTATGTTGGTGTATTTCAGCTTGTGTTTGAAATGGTTACCCCAACGGTAGTATTTAGGTATACAGAAGACACAAGAGATTCCAAAAGTAAGTAAAAGTATATCTATATGGGTTTGCGACCAGCATGGATCCAGACCAGCCTGCGCGGTCAGGATCCATGCTGTTCGCTATCAGTTTCTCTTCTTGCTTCTTGTATTAGGGATTGTAAGCGAACAGCATGGATCCTGATCAGACTGTGCGGATGCGCAGGCTGGTCTGGATACATGCTGGTCGCAAACCACTTATGTTGGTTTTGTCGTGACACGGCTCATATAAGCATTTCATGTGATTTCAATATAACAATATGATATGGGAAATAAACTTGCTCTTCCTGCTGACATAATTACCCGTTTTTGTCCCTTTGAGAGGACCAATAACTACTAGCTAGTAATATCTGGGACTTGGCACATCACAGTCAAGTCGTAAACTATCAAGCTTACCTTTTATCTCTCCGACTTTGTTATGAACATGGCCTGCATTGATATATTTAGAACCCAACTTGCAAAATTCAGTGATTTCCAATACTGTTAATCAGGGTTTTTTGTTTTCGTGAGTTTCCAATTTCCACTATATTTGCATGCCATGCATATCGCGAAAAAAAGATTTGCTAAAGCTTGGGGTTATGTAGGAATATTGAAAACAATAAATTTCTGACAAAAAGAGTGGTCTCTCTTTGCCAGCAGAAAAATGAGAAAAAAAATAGAAACATGTACAACAAAATCGCTAAAATTGAATTAGCTAAAAATGCCTAAAATTAGATTACTGCTGTACATGAAAATATACGGTATTTAAATGGTGATAATTAGCATCTCACAATTTGGATAGACTGCTCAGGAGCTGGAGGCTGGTCATGTTTCATAGTCCTTATCAATTTAATTTTATTTATATAACTGTCAGCTCTATACCAGTGATGAGATAGTGGGAACAAATTTGAATTTATCATGATTACAAATAACGATTGTATGTTTACAGATGTGGCTGTTGCTCCATATGCTGTCGGTACAACAATGGATGTTGAAGATGATGATGATGAGGAAGTTATAAAGAAGAAGACATACTACAACTCTCTCAATATATGGGTACATTAACTTCTTATACTCACTAGTTATGAATAACAGTGTTCTGGTTTATTGCCTATGAGTTCTACTGAAAAAAAAATTTTGATTAGGTTAACCACCTTCTGGCCTTTAGTGCAGTAACAGGTTAATTCCTTATATAATTTAATAAGAGTTAACCCATTACTGTACTAAGTGTTGATTTCAAGCTCTACATAAGACATTAGTTAGTTTCTAGTACTGAATTGCGAGAAAAGAAAATCAAAGCTTAATCAATAAAAAATGGGTAAAAACATTAAAAAGTCATTGTCTATGAAATCTTAAAATTTTGTATCAGAAAATTTTGATTTACAGTTATACTTATAGATTATGAATGAATACTTTTGAATACACCTTTCTTTATATGACTGGAATTGCCTGTCCCTTATATCTGGGATTTCAAAGGGGGTAGGGTCAAATTATCCAAAACAATATCAAAATGCAGTCCTTGTTTTATATCTATATTGTATATGAAAATGTAATTGTAGTTGTAACATAGCAATATCTCAATTCAGACCCATTGTCAGTGAGCATCATTACAATTTTACTATATTAAATTGTTTCTCAATTAGCCTATTTCTAATTTCTTTGATATAGTAAATTTCTTTTATTATACATTTGACAGTACATCCTTTATTTTACTATATTCAATTGTATCTCCATTCAGCCTATTTCTAATTTTGTTGATAAAGTAAATTTATTTTATTATACATTTGACAGTTGGGAGAGACACTGCAGACAGAGAACCCATATGTAGAGATTACAATGGTAGAACTAGAGAGGGAAGGTGTATGTATGAAGTTTGCACCGTTAGAATCTGCTCAATGTAAGTTATTGCTTTATTCACCATTGTCCAGCCTCTGTGGCCAAATGGTTAATTTTTGCTGACTTCAAATCACTTGCCTGTAACCTCTGAAGTGTTTTTTCTCACCTAATTGGGAATAGACTTTAGTCTGTTCTTGATTTTGGGAAGAATTATTGCTAAAATTGATTGTTTAGGAAGTAAAAAAGCTGGGGTAAGTTCAGATGTTTGGGCAGATGTTTGGGAAAACTGCATGATTTTAAAATAAATTGCCGTTGGGAAGAGGCATTTTATGGGCTTTTGTTATATAAGGTGAAAAATCGCTGCCTAAATGGGTTTGAATGTTGACGGGGATTTTGGATTCATGGATGCGAGGAAGACATTCATCTAGCAAACAAAATATTAGTGGTTCTACTCTGCCTGAAATAGAAAAGAGAGGAGCACTTTAGACCTTTCTCCACCTATAAAGCTTGAAAGTAGTTGTGTAACTTTTGTAGTGTCTGGCATAACTTGAAGTTTAACCCCCATCCTCCTTAAAAAAGAAAAGAATATTCTTTCATCTAGCAAAGTTAAACTATTGTTGCTACTGCATTTTAAACAGTCAGGGGTGTAACTTAAAGCAGTTATCATTTTTATAACTGAATTAAGTTACATATTTAAGATCTACAGGTTGCTTCCCTTTGTCTATCCCGATAATTGGTTATCCCTTTTAGATTGTTCTAAAAATAGGTTATAAGGGCACTAAATCACGCACGCTTCATTTTATTGATCTTATGTCCTGATAAGCTCCCTTTAATTTTGGAAATAATTATGAGCGGCTTATATTAAAAACTGAAGTTTCAGAGAACAGGGCTTATGGTTCATAAAACATGTAATAATATTGATGTCACAGGCATATTAGGGGGCGGCAGGGCAATGCCCCCTCAGAAAATTTTTGAAATACTGCACTGCATTTCTTGAATTTGAGCACTGGCTTTTGGTGTCTTTCACTGAGTGTTCAAGTAGTAATTTTTTCACATTATTGTTATAAGCAAATTAAAGAAAGAAGTTAGATAATAACTGTATTTTTGGATCATTAATTACCAAAATAATAACAATAAATCCAAATTATTCATAATTTTTTATCTAGCTTTGACTTACTTTTTAATATACCTTTTACGTTTATTCATTAAATCTATTTTTTTCTTTAAAATGTCATCTAAAAATATTTGTAAAAGTATAAACATAAAGATATCAATACCTGGGAGACCTATTTAGGCCAGTTTCCATAGCACGTGGTTTAGATAACGGTATTACTATTTCAGAATGTGCCCATATGAAAACGTTCCAGAAAAAAATGTTCTTTTAGGTATTGAACTATATAACGAGTATATGTACGAAAAGTGTGCCAATAACTTATTTGAGGTAAACATATGATGTAGTTAAATAAAATCATTTATTTAAAATGCGCTCACTGTATAATATAGTAGGAATTATTTTCAGAGGCAAGTACTTTTAGCGTAATTAATATAATTTTATCTCTGAAAACTAAATAAAAAATTAAAATGCAGAAAGAAAGAAAAAATGGACATTAATATATCGTGTATATTAAATCATGTTGACAGATATTAATTTAAAAAAATATTTGTCAAATATATCTTTTTTATGGATAAATTATTTCTTTAAAAAGTATTATATCAGTACTGGGGGACTAGGATGAATGTTGTTCAAGCATAATTGCAAAAAAAACAACCCTATTTTCAATCTAAGATTGATCAATAAACAACCTTTGATAATAATGATCGACTTGACTAAACTGTGTGGGCGCGTGGCGTAATTGAACCCCGCCAGTAGCTAATAATTTACGGCCGTTCCGGACGCTCTGTAATTTATCGAATAATTTTGACCAGACGCTAGCTTGTCTATCAAATCGATTGCATCGATAAGCCAGATACCAAAATCGGCAAATTAAAAAGGGCATCCCGCCCCCTTGTCACTCAAACGGGCGGGGGGGTTACAGAGTAAGAAAAATAGAGTTTGGGTTATTCAGTTCCCAAAAAGTGTTTTTTCAAAACCCCGGTTTTCCGTTAACTGGGAAAAGGGGTGCAAAAGTAATTTTTAGTTTGGGTTTTTGGGTTTAATTTTTGCCTTTTAAAAGCTTCTTTTTTATCGTATATTTTAAGTTAAAAATTAAAACGGGAATCCGATGGGAGGATAGTTTTTTTATAAAAAATTGGGAAATAAAAAGAAACGTGCTTTACCCGGGGGTTTAAACCAATGTTTAAAAAAGGGAAAAAAGAAAAAACAAATCCACTTTTTTTTTTCCTTTGTCATTTTCTTAATAAATTACATTTTAAAAATTTCCCCTAAATATCAAAAATGTTAGGGGACATTTTTCCTTTTTATAAAATTTTAGCGTCAAAAAACGCAAAGCCGTAGAAAAATGAAAATTTTTAAGGGAGTAAAACAAAAAAAATTTCGTAAAATTATCTAACCTGAATATTTTATTTAAAGTTCAATAAATAAGTTTAAAATTTCAAAAAATTTTGTTGATTTGAAAAAAAATTACCAAAAAATTTGTTTTTCTGAGGTTGTGGGGCTTTAATTTTTTTAAAGAGTTTTCACGTGTTTTTATGTCGTGAATCATAAAAAAATGAAACGGTTAAACCCAATTAAAACGTAATCACTTTATTAAAGGGTTAAAAATGGCATGAAAATTTTTTGAAAAATTTAAAAAATTCATGAAAAAAAAAATGTATATCAAAATTGAATTTCGAAATTAAACCGGGAAAAAGATTTTTTAATTTTTTTGTGTCCACTAATAAATTTACTTTTTTTGTTTCGCATTTAAAAAATTTTCAAAATAAACCCGTTCATAAGATTCGTATCTTTCCTACTTTAAAGTCTAAAATTTAAATTTTGGGTAGATTTTTAATGAAAATTTATAAATTTTTTTAAAAAATTTTAAATTGAAGTAAAACAAAAATACCCAGGGTTTCGAATAAAAACGTGAATCCCATTTTTTTTTAATATGGGGAATGCAGAAAATTTTTTTTTTTTTAAACCCCTTTTTTAAAAATACATTTGGGGTTAACAGGAGGATTTTCCCCTTTAAACATGCCTAAATTTTTTTCTTTCATGAAAGGGAAGGGGTTTGGATGAAAAAAGGGAAGGTTGTTTTTAAAATATATTTTAAAGGGTTTTTTTTAAATAAAAAAAAATTATAAAAAAGTTTTTTGTTTGTTTTTAAAAAACATTTTAAAATCTTTCATTTTTTGGTTCAAATAAACCAAAATTTTTATAGGGAAATTATGGGAACCCCCCCAAAGGGCCAAACAATTTTTTCCCTGAAATATTTTGCCAAAAAAAAAAGGATTCACAAAAATAAAATTTTTGGGGGGAAATTCTGTTTCCTTCCAAATTAAATTAAAAGGAAAAAAATAAAAGAAGGGGTTTTATTTTGAAAACTTTTTGAAAAATTTTATGGGAAATTGAGGCCCAATATTTATGAAAAATCTTAAAAAGGGTTTTAAACCCACTCAAACATTTCGGGAATTTGGTAAAATTCCCTTTTGGGTTTCTGTTTAAAAACCTTAGTTTGGGGCAGTTGGAAAGTTCCGAAACCCTTTTTCTTTTGGCCAAATTAAGGTTTAAATTCTGTTGTAAATTCTTGGGGGTTAGTAAATATGTTTTGTGTTTCCCAAAAAAGGGGGAAAATGTTAGTTTTGCTTTTTTTTTAATTTTTTTTTGTTTTAACAAAATCCCCAACTTTTTTTCAATTTTTTTTAAATTGGGGAATACCCTTTAATGATGTACAGATGTACCGAGGCCTTAGGAATTAAAAAAATTTCTTTTTAACTGAAGTAATAGTGCCACTGTGAAATTTTCATTTCTTTTTAAAATCTTTTTTCTAATTTTGTTTCGTAAAAAAATTTAAACCTTTTACCAATGAGGCGGGTCTTTTATTAAAGGGGAAACCAAATTGGGGGAAAGCAAAAAGGGGTTTGGGGAAAAATTTAAACAAGGGGATTTTTTGGGGTTTTTTGGGGTAAAACGAAAAATATTTTAAAAAATGGCAAAACGTGGGGCTATTAGGGAAAAATTTTTAAAAATTTTAAAAAACAGTTTAAAATGAAAAAAATGACGTTTATTTAAAATGTAGCCCCAAATGTTTGCTTTGTTTTTTTCCGATCCTGTTTTCTTTTGCCTCAAATTTTTTTACTTTTTGTTTTGACTAAATTCCGGGGAAAATAAAAAACGCTTTTAAATTCTTTTTGGTTTAAATTTTTTAAATTAAAACAAGAAAAAATGCTTTAGTGGGAGGGTTAACCGCCTTTTTAAAAGGGCGAGGGTTTCTAGGGGCCCAAAATTTTCGCATTTTAAGGCAACCCCTTTTTGGGCTCCTGTCAAAAAGGGGAACAGGGGTGTGAGCTTTTGTGTTTCGCTTTTGGGTCCGGCGTCCTTTCCCGCCCCGTCGCCCGCCCGCCCCTCCGTCCGAAACTTTTGTTTTAAAATGACATTTTCCTTTCATAAAACCACTGACCCAAATTTTACCCAAACTTCCCCGGGGATTTTTCCTTTGG